TGAGGTGTGTGCGGCAGGTCTTCATTCCCGCGAGGAGGCTGGTGAGGGAGTATTCCCAGGGAGGAGCAAGCCTGAAGCAGAATCTTGAAGTAAATGCTATGTATGAATTAGAGAATAATTCTAAATTCTAAATAATTCTAAAGCGAGCAAACCATATCACTGTACTTAATTCACTCTGGCAAAATGGGAAGCTGTAAATAGCTTTGTATAATACAAAATAACAAAGGATTCAGCAACATGTAGGCATCTAATACATAAAAGGACCAGGAAACATAAATATATCAACTGCATAAATGTGAAATGTATTTGACCCAGGGGGCACAAACTGACAGATAGAGCATTGTACTCCTTTTCCCTTCCAAAATGCAAACGGCACGACGTGGGGTTGTTTTCTAGGGTCCCACTATGTTTGCAAGCTGTCACATCAAATTCAGCTTCCAAAGTCAAATAACATCTTTTATCCTGGGTACTCCTCCTGAGTCACTGTCTTTTTTTTTTTTTTTGGAGAGAGAGTCTCACTTTGTCACTGTGGGTAGAATGTTGTGATGTCATAGCTCACAGCAACACCAAACTCTTGGGCTCAAGTGATGCTCCTACCTCAGCCTCAAAAGTAGCTGGGGCTACAGGCACCCTCCACAACACATGGCTAGTTTTTCTATTTTCAGTAGAGACGGGGTCTCGTTCTTCCTCAGGCTGATCTTAAACTCCTGAACTCAGGCAATTCATTTGCCTCAGTCTCCCAGAGTGCTGGGATTACAGGTGAGAGCCACTGTGGTGGCCCCTGAATCACTGTCTTGAGTAGCACCATCACCATCTTCCCAGTCGCTCAAGTAGAACCCTCCAAAGGGGGGTCACTCCCCATCCAGCAGGTGGTACTCCTCTTGCCTGCTGCACTGATCCTGTCCGTTCTGTGTCTGTGACGGTAAGGCAGGGAGCATGTCTTCCTCGTTGTATTTTCTTTTTGCCATGATGTATGTTAGAAAAGTCTGTAAAAGCTCTTGTGTAATCTGGGCATAAAGTCATAAGGGCCCCAGGGAGTGAAAGGGGGATTAGTCACAGGGAATAGCATGTAGGCAGGAGGCTCCACAGAAAGAGTCAAACATTCAGAGAGCAATTCTCCTGGAAATTTTTAAAAACTACATTAGATATAATTACAGAAATGTTCCTATTTGTTCCCATCCCTGTGATGTTGGTTCTGGGTGTCCACATGATTGGGCCACATTGTTCTGGGTGTTTCCATGAGGGTGCTTCAGAGTAGACGGGCATGTGCATCTCTGGACTCAGGGAAGCAGGTGGCCCTCCCCAGTGTGGCGGCATTGCCCAGTGTGCTGAGGGCCTGAACAGAACAGAGGGGAAGAAGGGAGGAATTTGCCCTTTTGCTTCCTGCTCACCTCCTTGAGCAGGGACACCTCTCTTCTGACTTCAGCCGGGGGCTTACATTACTGGTGCCTCTGGGACTTGCAGATGGCCAGTTGTGGGACTTCTCAGCTCCTGTGATCATGCGAGCCCATTCCTCATACTCTCCGACTTAACATAGGTCCAAGTGGTCCTGTTTCTCTGGGGCATGCTAATATAACCCATGAAGAAATGTGGAGTGACTTTTGTATTTACATAGAAGAATGAAATAAAGAAAGACCAAGAAAATCAAGACCAAACCAGCCTCAGCAAAGAAACACTAAGCTTAGCTGCACATTTAAATGAGGATTTGTGTAGAAACCTCTCGTGACCTGTTTCTGGTATTGCTGACTTCTATCCGAGCTATTTGGTGTAATAGTTTGAGGAGAAGGGCTCCACACCGGGAGGGCTCACCCCTGCAGAGATCTCTAATTCAAATACAAGTCAATGAAGGTAGTCAATGCTAACTTACCTGATTCAGCCAGAGAAGTCTGAGGGGAAATAACGTCATGAACACTTGGTGGGAGTTTCTTCCGTGGCTTTTTACATTGACTCAGCATCAAGTAGAAGGTTATTTTTGCTCTTTCTTACCAACCATGTGAGAAAAGGGGCTGTCAGGCAGGCAGAAGGCAGCATCACTTAGGACGGATCAGATGCGGTGGGTCTTCCCACCTGTGCTTTGAGGCCAAGCTGTTCTGATGATGGCAATGTCAAGCCTTTTTTTTTTTTTTTTTTTTTTTTTTTTTGCCCCAGGTTAGAGTGCCCTGGTGTCAGCCTAT